AAAAAAAAAAAAAGCGATAAGCCATGTTAATAGCAGATACCCTTGGTGTGATGTGATGTGGTAAGGATGACATTTTCCCTGTGGGCTTCCTCCCCATGACACAGGGGCCACCCCAGCCGTGTTACAGCCCTGGCCCTGGATAGTATTGAGTCCCCGAACCCCCAGCACTTGTGTGTACAGCCCCTGTCCCTGGCCCACCATACCTGGCCAGCTCACCTTATTTTGACATATAGCTGAGCACGGTGCTGGGAGGTAACCATTGTACAGCCTGTAAGTAGGGCTGTAAATAGTCACAATGGGCCTGTACATAGTCCAGCCCCAGCAGCACGTGCTGGTCCAGCCAGCTGGCTGCAGGCAAGTTGTTTCTAGAACCAGAGTTTATTTAATGAGAAAAAAAGAAGGGTTAGAGCAGTATGTTCCCAGAACACACCTGCAGCTCCCACAGGCTGGGGCGGGGTGTCCAGGGCCCAGCGCTGTTGGTTCTGTCACTTTGCGTCTCCTCAAGTTCCCTCTGTGGGACTGCAGGCCACCAGCACGTGCTGCTGCGGCTGGACTACGTACAGGGCCACTGTGACTATTTACAGCCCTACTTACCGGCTGCACCATGGCCACCTCCCAGCACGGTGCTCACCAAACCATCTGCTCTCACGTCCACGGGGTGTTGCTGTCGGTGATTCTGTGGCCTCTCCTCCTAAGCTTTGACTGATTCGTTGTTCTTTTGCTGTATTTTTCTTTGTAGGTTTCAGAATTTTCTATTTACTAATCATAATTGAGCGAAAATAAATGAAATGCTCAATCTGCCAAGTTTCACTGGAGGCTCCACGGATCCTTCCACCGTGCTCAAAGCCTGCAGGAAATCTGGGGAATCATCTTTCCTACCCTAAGACCGGCCCTGAGGCCCCTGACAGGCATAAACGAATCAGCAAAAGTGCAGGGAAAATGCGGGAGCTGCAAGATCAAAGTCGGATTCCCAGTCTCCCTAAAGGCCTGGATTCCCCTAGAAACCCGTGGCCCCACTGCCTCGAAGGAGGGATGAGGACCCAAGGGAACAGCTCTGGGCATTAACTGGTCCAGGCGGGAGGCGGCTCCCCATATCCCACCTTTCCAGTGCCTAAGGGAGCTTCTCAGGGGACCCTCATCACCTTCCCCCACCATCACAGAGCAGCCCGTACCTGACCTGTATCAAAACACTCGGGGGCGGCTGCTCTGGCTGTGTTTCCCTTGCACTGATGCTCCCTAGAACTCTGGGGAGAGAGGCTCACCAGGGTCACCCAGAGAGTCCCTGAACCCACACTGTCCCAACACATGAGGCTTCACTCCGGAGGAAATAGGAAAAGGGAGTGAATCCCATGGGCTCCCCTCACACAAGGAAAGCTGTATCTGTCGCTTGGGTGCAAGGTAGGCTGTGAGGCTGGAGAAAAGCTCCCAAGGACCACGCCTCCTGGAGTCTTTTTGAGATGGCATCTTGCTCTGTTGCCCAGGCTGGAGTGCAGTGCTGCAATCTCAGCTCAGTGGAACCTCCGCCTCCCGGGTTCAAGTAATTCTCCTGCCTCAGCCACCAGAGTACCTGGGATTACAGGCGCGCACCACCATGCCTGATTTTTAGTGGAGATGGGGTTTCACCATGTTGGCAAGGCTGGTCTCGAACTTCTGACCTCAGATGATCTGCCTGCCTTGGCCTCCCAAAATGCTGGGATTACAGACTTGAGCCACTGTGCCTGGCGGCCTCCTGAAGTCTTTGCTGTAGAGGGGTTCATCCTTTTGTGGAGCCAGGAGGCGGAGATTCTGCCCTCATCTGCTGGCCAGTGCTTCCACTTCATTTTATTCAGGGGATGACAGCCCAGCCGGGAGAGGCTGGCCTGGGATGTGCCCACCACCTGGGGTCCTGTTGGAGGTAGGCACTCCTTCCTGGCTGGGCTGAGTACCAGTCTAAAAGACTTGCCTTATGGCAATGGCACCCTCTGGCAGAGTGAGAAACACTGAAAACCAGGGGTCCTTTCACATCCTTGCAGCTGGATAGCACCGCTGCCTCCTGCAGCTCCCATGGGGACCTGGGAGGTGGGCATGAGGCCACCAGGAAGCTGCTCTCCATGTGGGAAGCTGAGGCTTTAGGGGTTTACTTCCTTGCCCCAAATGCAATACCAATGAGGGACACCATGAACCAGGCTTGGCCTCCCCACCTGCTGCACCCACACCCAGTGGCCTCAGGGATTTAGCCCTGCCTGGCCCTTTCCATCACCATCTGAATGCTGGGCCTCCTTAGCAGAAATACGCACCGCTCTGTGGTTGGGGAGCCCTGCTAAGTGGGCAGCAGGTGCAGGGGAGGGCAGCTGAAGGGGTGCAGGGCGCTGATGGCACACCACATAGAGACCCCTGCAGGGCTGGGTGTGCCCAAGGTGGTCTCCTGAGGAGCCCGGGTCTCAGGGGGCTGTGTCCTCTGAGAGTCCTTGGGATTCCCACTTTCAGGTGACTTTCAGATGCTAGACAGATGTGGTATTGTGGGCCAGGGACCTCTTGGCATGTGGCCCCGGGCTCTGGGCTCTTCAAGTTCAAGCCAGGCATGGGACAAACCTGGCCCTTTTGTGGAGGTCAGCTGTCTGCATTCCAGCTTTTCAGCCACCACCTGATACGAGCTGTGTCAGGCACTGTGCTGGGTTCTTTAAACCCTTCGAGGAAACTGCTCTCACAACCCTGTTCTGTGGGTGGTGGGGGGTACTGAGGCTCATGGAGCATACATAGTTTGCCCCAGGCCACAGCTGTTGGAGTGTCTGAGTCAGATTTACAACCCAATGGTTAGATCCACAGCCCAGGGGCCCTGTCTCCATAGCGGTGCAGGCTGCAGGGTCAGCTCCCTCAGCCCACAGCTGCTGACCCCACAGACCCTCAGTGCTGGCCAAGGAAGCACAGCCATCCTGCTCTCCACGAGAGGCCCTGCCTGGAAGCACAAAGAATGCAGATCCTTCCTGGGTGCTGAGGCCTCAGGCCATGCCCCTGTTTCAGGCTCTGGATTAGTCAGGGTTTTCCAGAGGAACAGAATCCATAGGATGCATGCGTGTTTATAAAAGGAGATGGACGGTAAGGAATTGCTTCATGAGACAGTGGCACTGAGAAGTCCCCAGATCTGCAGCTGGCCAGGTGGAGCCCCAGGAGAGCTGATGGAGTTTCCCCCAGTCTAGAGGCCGAGGGCTCGACACCCATGAAGAGCCAGTGCCTTGGTTCAAGTCCAAAGCCTGGAAAAGACCAAGTCCCAGCTCAGGGGGGCCAGGCAGAATGAATTCTCTCCTATCCAGCTTTTGTGTTCTGTTCAGGTCTGCGGTGGATGGGGTGGGGCCACCCACACTTCGGAGGGCCGTCTGCTTTGCTGTCCACTGGCTCAAGTGTTAGTCTCACCCAGAACCCCTCAGGCACACCCAGAATAATGTTTGGCCGAACGTCTGCCCCTCGTGAGCCAGTCAAGCAGACCCAGGAAATTAACTAGCACAGGCTCTGAGGCTCCAGGCACAGGAGACCTTCATCCTGCAGCTCCCACTGATGTGGACCGGGGGTCCCTGGGGACAGGCTGTGGCTGGGTGGCCTGGATGGGGAGGGGGTCACTCAGCAGCGTGTCCCCTGTGCATGTCCTTCACACCTGAGCCTCCCTCCTCCTCTGTAAGTGGGCTACACAGCCCATAACTGATGTACTGTATGGTATGCTTTGATGACCTGCCCCAGTGATGGACGTGACACCAAGACCCTGCCCAGATGTGTCCCCGTTAGCTGCTACCAGATGAGGGCACTGGGGCTGGGAGGGGTCAGCTAGCTGCCCAGGGTTCCATGGCTGGTCAGAGGCATGGCCCAGGCAGTCTGGCTCCAGAAGGTGCACTCCCACCCCTAGACCACCCCGCTGCCTGCCCTCACAGGGATGGTGTGGTTTTTCCGACTCCTGCTGGTTCCTGGCTGCTTCTGGAGGTGGTGGATGGGCCCAGCAGTCGGGGTCCTGGGATTAGTCTAGGCTTTGTACCACGAAATTGAGGCAAAGCGGAGACCTCAGGGTGGAGAGGATGACCCTCTGCCATCGGGAGAGGGCCTTGTCCTTTGCCAGGGCCAAACCGGGGCTTGTCATGGGAGGGGGTGCCCATGGAATGAGGTTGGAGGGAGTTGGATGGTGTTGAAGAAAGAAGGCTCCCTACGGCCTGGTGAGAGAATCCCCCACATGGAGACCCCACACTTAGTGTAGGATTCCAGACCGAATGGCCTTCCCATGCGGTTGATACAGACTCTTAAATACTGAAATAGTTCTGGGGAGTACTGAGATTTGTTGGACTGCTTAAAATCCTGGAACGTGTGCATGGGTGCGTGCATGCTCTGTGTGTGTGTGTGTGTGTGTGTGTGTGTGCATGCGTGTGTGTGTATTTGGACTGCTTAAAATGCTGGAACGTGTGCATGGGTGTGTGCATGCTCCGCGTGCGTGTGTGTGTGTGTATGTGTGCGTGCGTGCGTGTGTGTGTATTCGTGTGTGTGCGTATGTGTGTCGGGGGGTGAGGGTGCTGGTGAACTTGAAGAGACTGTAGTCTTAAAAAGGGGACTGGCCCTGAGAAGCTCTCCGACTGCAAGGGAAAGCCTGCATGGGACCGGAGGGTGGGTCTGGGATTCCTGCTTCCTCAACAGTCCCTGAGGGCTCAGGATTGAGGGATGAAGGCTTCTGGAGCGGGGGAAACGCCATGTCCCTGGAAATAAGTGGCTGTTGCTGTGAACCCCCAGGCCTATGGTAGCTTGTTACAGCAGTCATAGGAAACTAACACAGAGGTCGTATTTTCTCTTTAACTTTAATAAACTGCCCTGAACACTTTATCATGTGCACCAGGACGGGCCCGCTCTTGGCTTAGATGCAGCCAGTGTCTCCACAGGTTCCTCTCCCAATCCATGAGAACATGAGCTTCCGGTATCAGCGGGGTGCCCACACCAGGAGGGGAACGTGCCTCCAGGTTGTCCTCGGGAGAGCCCCAATTGATGTGCGGTGTTCAGGGTGGTGTCTGGGATTTTGGTGCCTTGTGTGTCCAGCAGCTTTGGCACGTCCAGGCTGAGGAAAGTGGGACCCCTGCCTTCCCCTGCCTGCATGTGGGGTCTCCCTCGAGGGAAGCCTTTGGTAGGTGGGTGGGAAGATTAGGGCACTGGAATGGGCACTGTGAGGAGGTGCAGAGGCACCAGGCTCTGGCAGCCTCCTGGCTCCAGGAGAGGTCCAGGTCAGGATCACTGCAGCAACCAACGCCTCGGATCACTCGAGCGCTGGAAGGCAAAGGCACCCACCGGCTGTGTAGACAAGAGCGCTCAGGGGCGCTGCACATCGGGCATGTTGTGGCGTCAGTCTGAGAATCAGCTTGGGTGGAGTCGGACCAGGACGCCCAGCTGGGGTTCCGATGTCGGGGAGTGGAACGCCTACATGGCTTGTGTGAAGGATGCTTCAGGAGACGCAAAGGCTCTGGTGGCCGGGAGGAGCTCAGGGATGGCAGAGACCCCAAGGATTCTACGGAGGTGGTCGGGTTTGGTAATAGGGTGCCGGCATGTGGCGGGTGTGAAGGGTGCTTCAGGGGACACAAAGGCTCTGGTGGCTGGGAGGTGCTCAGGGTTGACAGGGACTCAAAGGACCCTATGGAGGTCTTCAGGTCTGGCGATGGCATGGAGGCCAGAGGAGCCAGAGGAGCCTGTGGGGACAAGCTGGTGGGAGAAGCTTTCCCACACCTCCCATGTGGCCGGTGAACGCTACCCGGGCCTCGTTTGAATGACTCCGTCAGGCGGTCTCGGTTTAGAAGGCAATGGAAGCTGCCGTCCCCAGGGAGCTTCCTCAGGCGCCTGCAGCAGACAGGAGGCACAGGCTGCAGCCGGGAGCACCGGGCACCCGAGGCCCACGCCCCTCCAGAGCCCCCACGCTGACTTCACAAAGCTCTGCCTACCCCTGCCCCAGGGCTTTAGTGACATCCTGGCTGTGACCTCCCTCTCCCAGATCCACCCCAGGCCCTGGTAGGAAGGAGGACAGGAGGGAGGAGGGGGAAGAGCCTCACTTTTCCAGTAGGAGAGTGTGGTCCCTAGCGTTCTCCAAGTTTTTCAAGAGACTTCGGCAAGCTGGAAAGCAAGAGTGGGTTACGGTGGCGACGGAGGGAACCGGGACTTACAGGAGGCTGAGTGCACGTGCTCTCAGGGGAGACCCCAGGGAGAGGGTTAGACCCTGGAGCCCCAGCATCGGCGTCAAAGGTCACGTGGCCCAAGTGTGATAGCCAGGTGCCCGGTGGGCAGTGCTTTGTCATTTACTAAGTGCTTCCCGACACACCTCTCGTGGGGGTCACGCCGACCTCCTGGGCAGAGAGGACAGGGGCAGTCTCAAAGAGGACTCAGCCTTAGCTGAGTTAAACAGCTGCCCGCGTGGACCTGGAGCCCTTTCTGCACGTCCAGGCGGTCACTGGTCCCCGCCCCCCCCCCCCCCCCACAGAGTCCCTCTTGGCCTCATCCCAGCAGGGAATTAGAGACAGATCCCGGGTGAATTCCTAGGAGACTTGGTGCTTGTTCCTAGGGACAGGTGAAGCTGCCACCTCTGGGGGCTTTTGGGACCCTCAGAGCCTTACCTTTCAAAGTGATCTTTTTATTTCTGATCCTGAGCCAGCTCCTCACTTCAGCTTGACCCTGAGAGACAAGAAAGAGTGAGGGCACAGCCGGGTCTCAGGCTCCTGTCCCCCACAGCTGCAGACCCACAGCACTTGTGAACGTCACACTTTCTCAGCTCACGGAGCCCTGTGTGCTCTTTCCTTTCACTCATTTCTAAAGTGCATAACCACATTTTCTGGTTTCCTTCTTGGAACAGCACAGAGGGGTTTTCTGCATGAGACCCGCCCTGGGCGTCCTCAGTGCCTGTCCGCTGCTCGGGAAACACACACCCTTGTGTCCTGCAGGAGCCTCTGAGCTGGCAGGGAGGATTCTGCTTCCGAGGAGGCCAGACGTGACTCCAGTCTCAGGTGGGAGGCTCTCAGGGGCTCCGCACAGCCCCCAGAGCACCCCACACAGAGGCTGGGCCCCGAGGCACCTGCCCAGGAAGGCGGCTGATGAGCTGGGGCTCAGGGCCTGTCCTCCTGGAGACCTCACCCCTCTCATGGTCGGGTCCTCGCCGTGGAGTCCCGGGGTTCGTTTTTGCCCTGACGCCTCCCGTGCACCCCCACAGATGGTGTGGGAGCTTGGGATGGATGCTGTACCCACTCCAAACCCTGCCTGTCCTGCTGCTCCCTAGAGGGATGATGAGACTTCCCATCACAGAAGCGCCTCTGGTTGATTTGGAAAGCGGGAAAGAGCAGGACAAATAGAATCATTCTGTGCTGGGTGTGGGCTGAGGGCTCCTTACCTTCCTGCCGTTCCTCTTTCTGGGAGGCGCTGAGGATGGTTTCCTGAAAATGTAGGAGCATAAGAAGGCCAGGATCACCAGGCTACATGCAACAATTAGGATGAAATGCATCATCCAGAGCATGGGGCTGGAGCTCAGGAGTCAGAGTCAGCGTTCTGGGATAGTGGTTCCCATTGAGGCTGAGGGCTGGCTGCAACCTTGCCCTTCTTGGGTGAGGACAGCTGCTCCCTCTTTGGACTATGTAGTCCAATTATCTATTATTTTGCCTAAGCCTAATGCTTTCCGGAGGAAAGACAATATCTATGTCAACTGCACTGCTGCCCTCAGGCAACTGAGCCCTGGGCATCCCCTTTGGGACTAGTTATTGGAGCTTAGGCCCACATCACAGAGCTGGGGCCTCCCCCTCACAAAGGGCAGCTGAGGGTGGGATGGGCAGTCCCACCCAGTGGGAGGAGGAGGCCGAAGCCGGCCCCACCCACCACCACCCACCTCTGCAGTTCCCTGTTCCCTCCTGGCCTTCCGGATCACTCCTTCCCACTCCACATACTCAACCTGTCAGAGACAGACCTGATCTGTTTTCTTTTTTTCTTTTTTGAGATGGACTTTCACTCTTGTTTCCCAGGCTGGAGTGCAATGGCGCTATCTCAGCTCACCGCAACCTCCACCTCCCGGGTTCAAGGGATTCTCCTGCTGCAGTCTCCCAAGTAGCTGCGATTACAGGCATGCGCCACCATGCCTGGCTAATTTTGTATTTTCAGTAGAGACGAGGTTTCTCCATGTTGGTCAGGCTGGTCTCAAACTCCCGACCTCAAGTGATCCACCCTCCTTGGCCTCCCAAAGTGCTGGGATTACAGGTGTGAGCCACCGCGCCAGGTCGACCAGGTCCGTCTTCTATCCTCCCATCCTGGCACACAGATAGCACCTGGTTCCTTGGAGATCCCTGCTCAGGCTCCATCAATTTCACAGTTTTTGAAGATCTGGACTTGTCCCTGAAATTTCTGTTTTCCAGGATTATTGCTCTCAGTGTCTCTTCTGCCTGCAATTCTAACTTTTCCACATAATATGTTCTTGGCTTGCATCAACATAGAGCTTCCTTTTTTTTTTGAGACTGAGTCTCACTTTGTCGCCCAGGCTGGAGTGTGATGGTGCAATCTTGGCTCACTGTAATCTCTGCCCTCTTGGGTTCAAGCAGTTCTCCTGCCTCAGCCTCCCGAGCAGCTAGGACTACAGGCATGTACCACCATGCCCGGTTAATTTTTGTATTTTTGTAGAGCTGGGGCTTTGTCATGTTGGCCAGGCTAGTCTTGAACTCCTGACCTCACGTGATCTGCCCACCTAAACCTCCCAAAGTGCTAGGATTATAGGTGTGAGCCACTGTGCCCAGCCAAGCTTATATTTTTTATACTTATTTAGTATTGTGAATTTTGAATAAAACTTTTATAATTTTTATTTCAATTAATCTTTATGTAATCTTCAGCTAGAGAGACTTAATAAAAATTAACTCAGTTTTTATTATTAAAATGTATAGGGCTAAATAAGTCATTTTATAAAAATTGAAATAAAAATTTAAAAATCCTTCAAAAGATTTTTAAATATTTGCTATATTTTTACTTCTAAAATCAATTAAAGTGTATAAGAACTTTTGGAAAATTCAGTACACGCACACAAACACAGACACCCTGTGACAAATCAATCTGGTGCTTTTAAATTTAAAAATCAAGTATTTCTGTTTAAAAGCTTTCTTTTAGTATTTCTTGTAAGGTAGGAGTGCTGGCAGCAAACTTTCTATCTGTTTATCTGGGAATATCTTAATTTTTGAAGGAGAGACGGAGGTTGCAGTGAGCGGAGATCATGCCATTGCACTCTAGCCTGGGTGACAGAGCAAGACTCCACCTACAAGAAAAAGAATACCATGAGGATGATCAACACATACTACTCTCCTGGATGAGGATTATTACCATCAACTCCATTTTTCAGATGAGAAAACCGAGACTTAGAGAAGTGACATAATTTTCTAAAGGTCACTCCCTATTACATGTTGGAGCAGGGATCTGACAGCCACCTAATCGCACCCAAGAGCAGCATTCTCTGCTCCGCTCTCCTCCATGGCCGCCTCTGACTCCCAGGAGACCTCCCCAGCTCTGCGGTCCTCAGTGTCCATAACCCAAGAAAGGGGAAGGGGACATGAGATCTTGAGCTTTTCTCACTCGCTGAAAACGAGCAACTGAGAACGAGACTTCGTTTTGCTTAGAAGTAAAAATAAAAGTGACATGTATTGCCTATCGAATATTAGAAGCAATTTATCTATGTAACGTGCGTTAGTGTCAGTATCCCTTGCTATCCAAACTCTCCTTATTGAGCTCAAGAATCAAATAAAGTCAGATAACTTTGTCAATAAATCCCTTGCTCTGTACACCACCCTTGCTACTCACTGTCTCAAGACCCAAACTCACTGGGACAAGGTGCTGTCCCCTCCTGATTCAAGCCTGGTGTCTGAGTCTCACCATGAAAAGCAGGAGCCAGGAACCAGAAAGCAGAGGAGAGGGGCAGCTGTGAGTGCAGAGAGCATGCCCATCCTTCCAGTCCCCCCCACCCACCACCCCGTCCTCATTAGCTCTGTGGGTATGATGATGAGAAACTCACTTTTCTAGTAAATTACTGTGCTGCTTTGACTTTCACGAGCGTGTTGGCTTGATGGATTTTTGTAAATATAGTCATCAGTGGATGCCTCCTGTCCCCATCTCAGGAATCATAACCCAGATTCCTGAAGGGGAGCTTGCCCACATGGGTGGAAACTGAGGCCCTCAGAGATGCCATCAGCCTCGATTCCTTGCTCTGTTCAAAGATCTCAGCATTACGGAGCCTTCCTTGGGGCAGCTGGACATTCCTGTGTTGAGGAAGCATCCACTCACATGCCTTGGGAATTTTGTAGATTTTACTGTGATGCGAACAATTTCCTATGAGGCCCTCAGTGCCCCAGGGTTCATTGTTGGGTGCTTTTGAGGGTGGGAGCTGGAGGTGTTTCCATTTTGCTTGGGGGATCATCTGCCTTTCTTTCTCCTTTTCCTTTGAGCTGGTGCTCAGATGATGAGAGCACTGTGCTGATGAGGTAGGTGCTGGGGTGGTCTCCCAGGAGACCAGGCCGGCTGCAGCAACCTCCATCGATCAGCAGAGGGACAAGAGAGGAGCAGACGTGGAGGAGCAGACCTACTGGGGGGTCCTGGAGGAGTCGCTCCACCTGCGGACAGCAGCTCAGGGCTTCAGCTGCTTCTGGAGACGAAGAGCCTCTTTCTAGACTGAGGCATCGTTTTGGTAAAAGAAAAAATG